AAATACCAGCCCTCGTTTACGAGTGCTGGCCAACGCTCATTAATGAACGCTGCTAATGAATTAATACCAGCACTGAGCGTTGGTAAATACGACTTAATCCCAAGACTAGCGGACAACTATGAACATTGGGGAAACGATAATAATTTTAACTTTCACCATCATTTCTGAGCGTTGGTGAAAACCATAACTGTTGTAGTGTCGAGAACTATCAAAGGGGAGCTAAAGAGTTCTTGGTCCATTTCCTCCTATCAAAAGGAATACTAATGCTATGTTTGGTAGGAAGGAAAGAAGAGGGGTGGAAGGAAAATAGGAAGGAAAAAACAAATTTCCTTTGTTCGGTAGAGAAGATATAAGGAAAGTGACATACCCCAACCCAATTTACACCACTTAATAAATTGAACATTTGGAATATATCTAACTATGGTATTTATGATGATCAACTTAATGACTCAATTTCATTTATGGTGCACACTAATGACTATTTTACTAAATCACTACGAAAGTTATCATATGGGCAAAGTGGGAGAATGTAAGATTATTTATTAATTGTGTGGCCCATATGATTTAGACATGTAATATATTTCATTAGTTAGTGGTTAAGTAATTAGATATCAGATTAATCTTATATTATTTGGTCAACTTATAAATTACCTTTATGGTAATTAACCTGTTTCATCATACTTTCCATAATATTCACTACCTCTATATGACCTTATGATTTTCACTTTTTTATCTAGTTGTTTTTCAACCTCATTTATGTATACTTCAAGAGTACCCACTACTTGAGATTTTTCATGCAACAAATATATATATCCATAACGTGAAAAATCAACTATAGAGGTGATAAAATATTTTTCTCCACCAAAAGATGGAACATTAGAAGGTCCACAAATGTCTGTATGAATAATTTCAATAAGCTCTGTACTTTTTGTGGCTCATTTCTTTATGTGTTTGGTTTGTTTACCCTTGATACAATCCACACACACACAACAAAATCAATAAAGTCTAGATTCAAAATAATTACATCTTTTACTAATTTTTCTAACCTTTCACTGAATATTGTCCTAGTCTTTTATGCCACAAGATAAATAAATTTTCATTAATTGAGTTACGTTTAATTCTAGCATGATGCAAGGTCTAAAGGGTTTTAATAAATAAACTATCAAGTTTGAATTTATCAAAAAACATCAACAAGAATATCATAACTCACAAATTAGAATTTCTCAAAAAAACATCATTATCAAAATTAAAGGAAAAACCATTAATATAAAGTTTTGAAATAAAATCAAATTATGGGAAATTGTAGAAACATAAAGAGTTTAAAACAATTTAAATAAAATCTATTGTCTAAGACTAAACAAAATGTCTCAATGATTTTAACAAAACTTTTTCCCAATTCTCATAAGTAAGAAATTCTTATTTGAATTTGTGGTTTAGGCCATAAGAAATCATTGCATCTATTAGAAACATAAACATTAGTATTTAAGTCAACCTATTATGTATTAGAAGGAATATCAATAAGCGATTCGAAAAATACAAAAGTTAAAAGACTTACCTTTCTTTTCGAATTATTCTTTATGTTTCATGTAATCTTTCTAAAAGTGTTCAATATATAAATGACACTTTTTCATTATTACATTTCTTTCTTTTAATAGATTAATCAAAGTTTTTTATTTTTGGGTGTTGCTCACTTAATGCCCTTTCAAGCTTCTTCCCAAATTTCTTTATAACTTCTTGAGTTATGAAATGAACATAATGATTATTTTTTTGTTTAAGCCCTGTCTCCTCTTAAATTAACGTAATGGTTAATTTTTTTTATTTTTTATTTTTTATTTTTTTTATTTGTCTTAATAGTGTTAATTCGAAATGACCCATATTGAGTAAACAAGGAATTAAGAATAAATTGAACAAGAAAATTCTCATCCACAATCATTCCTAAGGTTCTTAATTTTTCAACAACATTAGTCATCTCAAAATTATGTTCATACATGGTACGAGTACCAACAAAAATGCATAGTAGTGATATCAATTAATAATTTTCGTTTTAGATATTTATTTACAATACGAAAACATTCTTATAGTCAAATATTCTTTAGCACTATCACTATGGGGAACATTATTCTCTCTCCCAAGTTTTATGGAGAATCTTTTCTTTCTCACTGTCTTTATCAATAATAACACCAAGTTTCTCAATTTAAAATGCAAAATTTAGCACACCTAAATTTTGAACTTAACTTATTCATTCAATTATGAAAAATTAGTCCTATTGAGAATCATAATAGATGTAGCATGCGAATTCAAAAATATAATAAAACAAATATAATAAGATAAAATGCTCCCAACAATAATACTTTGAGTTAACAACATATATGTATAACTTAAAAATATAAATACAAAGTATAACTATAGTACCCATTTGAGTGGCAGCTATAATATACTAATAATGATGCTTACATGTATTTATATATATACCTTCATTGGTAATGCATTAATTAATTAAACAGATAAGTTACCTTTGAATATCCTATATCATCAAATTAAAAAATACATATAACCCCTTAATGTTCATTTAAATACTTGAAAATCAATTCCATTTGAGGAATTATTTGTCATAATTAAGTACACTTAATATTCATTAATATCACAAGAAATCATAAGCATCAATAACCCATGAAATATTGCAATTATGTGTACTACTAAAATTAATATTTATCAACCATTATGGTTGGGCTACTATAGCAATTACTAACATTTACATAATATGAATATTAAATTAACTTGTGACTAATTAATCATTAATTATATTTATTACTAAAATTAATATTCATCAATCATTATTGTTAGGTCACTTTGGTAACTACTAACTCTCATATAATATGAATATTAAATTAGCTAGTTACTAATTCATCATTAATTTACCTATTTAACATTAAATATACATACTCATACTGATCGATCCAAATTTAGATAGGTTCGATCCCAGAAACTTAATAGTCCAAAAATTCAATAAAAATATTATTTTACTTTATATACATAATAAAATATATTATTTTTATTTTCAGACTTGAAGATCATAATTGAATCAATCTAAAATTGAATCTTCATCATGTATGTATGAATACAAAAAAAAAAAAAAAAAAAAAAAAAAAAAAAAAAAAAAAAAAAAAAAAAAAAATTATTTACTTGTATAACAAAATTAAATTAAATTTCTAGATTCAAACATCATTCCAGAAATTTAAATTTGTGACAAAATAAATTAATACACATACTTTATGTATTTAATAATAATAAAATTAAAATTAGAATATTCATATTTAATCACATGTTTGACAAAGCCCATTAACCAAGCAAATCTTTAATGGACACTCATATATTCATTGTCACCTGTTCATGGACAATGAAAATATATATATATATATATATATATATATATATATACACACACACACTCATGTATCAGTAACTCCCATGTGAAAGTAAGTTAATTTCCACAAAATTCATTATGTTCGAAAATAGAGATAAGCAAATTCTTTGCTGCCCAAAAAACATTACTAATTCTTTTAGGGTCATTTGCATCAAAGGACATACCTCTAACAACAACTAAAACATACATAGCATCTGTCCATACTTATGTGTGGGGGCGATTCCAAACAAATAGACAATACAAATTATATTTTAAATTTATACATATTACTAGTGGGAGAATCCAATCTAATGGTTGGTAGGTGTGGCAGGATCTCTCATTTTCTGGAGAGAATCCTTATCCGTTGGGGAGATACATAGTAGAGAGATGGTATGTTTTTGTGTTTTGGCTAGAGAGAGACTAACCTAGTTTAGAGACAAATTCAATTCTTTAGAGAGAGAAATTCAATTTTCAATTTTTCTTTATGGAGAAGAACGACAACGATGAGAGAGAAAAATATTTAACTCTAATTTATTGTTTGAGGGTAGTTTTGTTTTTTTAATTTTTTATTTTCAGTTGACTTTAATGAGCGAAAGGTCAACTGACGCCAAGGGTACTTGGATAAAAATCAAGCAAACTTTAAAAGATGTTGAGTCAATTGACAACAAAAATTCAAAAAAAGATATGGTGTGATAGTCTATTGGTAGGGCATGTGCTACTTGTGGTCAAAAACCCAGATTTGAATCCCCACTCCATCAGTCAATTGCTTTAACTTTCAAAAAAAAAAAAATTCAAAAAGTTTAAGCCAAAACTCAAGGGAGGTGAGAGTAATTTACCCTAAAATAATTGAGGGAAACGTAAGTTTTTTGTAAAACTTGTGGTAGACACTAATTACATAAAGTATAATATAAATTAGATTGTCCTATTCCAATATTTTAGGCCCAGGCCAGAAATTGACCCAACCCAAATCATATTCCAATATTTCTAAGCGTAGAGAAAAAAAAATAATGAAATCGCAGCCGTCGATCTGACGGAGCCAAACCCTAAAACACCAGCCCCCTCTGTATATAACGTTACTTCTCTGTTATTTCCTTACCCCAACTTTCCTCCTCTCTCTCTCTCTATAGGTCACACTTCTCTTTCTATATCTATGTCTTTTATAATATATGTTTATATATAGTTTTGTTCATGGTGATTAGGTCATGAGAATCTCATTTTCTCTTCTTCCTCAGATTCATCTATATATTTCCTTGCCTTGTGATTGATCTAACTGTATTTATTGTAGATTAGACAGTTTAGAGTTTTGGGTAGTAATTACATAGAATTGTTGCTATTGCCTTTTGGGACTTCATGTCTGGGACTAACGTCTGCCCCTTTAGCTTGACATGAGTTGCTTCAGGGATGAACTGAGTCCCTGATATGAATTTCTCATCCACCCTTTTCACTTTGTCAGCCCTTCTCTTTCTGTGTCTTGCTGATCATTTCTGGGTGGAACATCTTTTGTTTTTTGTATTTTGATTTTGATTTTGATTTTGATTTTGATTTATTTTTTATTTTTTATTTTTTATTTTTTATTTTATGTGTGTTTGATTAAAAATGTTGATGATGACAAATTCAAAGGCTTGTTTCTCAAAAACATTCGCAGTGGCCGCATAAGAGCTTTCGCCTTTTGGGCTTGAGAGCTAATGCTTTCAATCCTTCCTTGGATGTCTGAGACATTATTACTTATATTTCCTTTTCTTGCAGTTAAAATATAAATATATATATATATATATATATATATATATATATATTTTCATTTTTACCTTGTAAATATTATATTGAGTGGCATTATTGAGTGACATGGGCTCAATTAATGCAAAATGAGGTCCATGTTTTTCGGATTGTTGTATTTTGTTCCTTGTTTCTTTGATGTTCCATCTTGCCAATAAATTTGGTAGTTTTACATTTGAATTAGGCAAGTATAGGATTGTCACTTAAAACTAAAAAATTATTTTATTTTTGCTTGGTTGTGTAAGAGTATTACAGGAAGTGGCAACCCCTAGTCTCTCTAAAACACAACTATTATCATTATTTTCTTAGAAAATTGTTTTTGAAAAACACAAATCATAATTTTTTTTTCTTTTTTTTTTTTTTAAAAAAAAATCTGATTTTGTTCTTGCAATTCAACCCGCAAGGTTTTTTTTTAAAAAAAGAAAACTGATTTTGCTCTTGCAATTCAACCAGCAAGGGTTTTTTTTAAAAAAAGAAAACTGATTTTGTTCTTGCAATTCAACAAGCAAAGAAAACTGATTTCGTTTTTGCAATTCAACAAGCAAGGTTTTTACTTTGCACATGAGAAGTATTAGAATTTGTTGATGATTGTAAAATAATCTTACAAAAATTTTACTTCAACGTGAAGAAATATTGGCAATCGTATGACCAAAGGGATACAAGTTGTAAGGACGAAATATTACTGTAAAGATCATCAAAGCTTATTAATGAATTAAAAAATTTACAAAAATTCAATAATTAGTGCATAAAATTAAAATTGAACCTATAAATATTTTTTTTTTAGAGAGAAGCAACAGAAACGTCGCCTTTTAGATGTTTGCAATATAATGAACATAATTAACATATTTAACTATTGTTTGTAATTTTAATTTACCTGGATCGGAAGTGATAAGTGTTATTTATTGCATCCATTACAAAATACTTGATACTATGTGTCCAAATGCCACAGCGTTATGGGACACCAATATGTTCACATTAAATGTTGCCACAAAAAGGATGATTCCTTGGGGTGAAATAACATTTCCTGAACATTGGACAATTTCTAATGCAGTTCCGGCAAAGCCAATTGCTAACCATAGCTTGGACTGTGTTATTCAGGACTAGGATGGTGATGTTTTTCTGAATTTCAGAAAATCATTAGATCTACCCAGATCTACATCATCTAAAGGAAGTCATCTTCCTTATCATGTTTTTTGTCCTCCTTCTCGCCATTCGATCTCGTCGGATTACAGAAAGGAAAATCTCCCTGAAGTTGGTTCCAATCACCTCAAGCTGAAAGGAATACAGCAATCTCCGAATCAAATTCCAAGAGGAGTCTACGAGAAAGCACCAATAGGTATGTCTCGTCGCCAATTTGGAATTGAATTCAGCCCAACTCCATCAGAAATGGGAATTGGAAATGAATCTGTGAAGGATCAATTTGATTTCCTACTGATATAAATGATCCTCATGAATATTAGTTTTAATGGATTTTGTCCCAGATAGAATTACCATTAATACTGAATTTCAATAGGATCAATATAAAGAATTCAGAAATTGGTATTTTAAAGCTTTTGACCAAAATCAATTACAGCTTTTTAAAAATCAATTTTATGACTTTCTACAAGAACGCAAAATGGTTATACCTTTTGTTTCTTGGTTTTATATGACAAATCATTCTCTTGTTAATATAAACATATTGGATGATTTTCTCAAACCATGGACTACATCTGAAGATAAGGTTTATCACTCTGCCCATCCTCCCACTGAACATTTAATTCTGAAAAGAATTGACCCTGACAGTGGTCTAAAAGTGGAAACCAAGGCTTATAACCAACCTAAAATAATTGATCAGTCTTGTAATGCTACTAAAAAGGACATTTCTCATGTTTACAGGCAGCACAATTATACTAATGTTTGTCTACAAACGATGGGGTCTCAGCTTGGGAGAATTGAAACAGGAATAGACACGGTATTAAATACAATTAATACTAAGTGTATTACTGTTAAGCCTTCTCCTCCAGAAGTTTCCTTATCCAAAGCATTGGTCAAACCTGCAATTGAAGTTAAAGGCTTCAATCTTACACATCCTAAGAAGAATGAAGAATTTCTTATTCTTCTTACTCAGAAAATTCAAGGACTTAAAATTCAGACTTTATCCCATGATGAATCTGATATAGGTTCTGATTCTGATGTGTTACCTCATATTGAGGCTTTTCAAACTGAATTCACTCAGCTACCTGAATTGAACCGAATTGTCTATGATAAGAATATCCACTCCAATACAGCACCTGTTCCGAGTAGATATTATTATCCCAGACCGACACCTCAAGATATCTTGTATGAAGAAGATTATTTTCATACCCAGAAATCTTTTCATGGTAAGACCATTTATGAATGGAACATTGATGGCAAATCTGATTATCAGATATATGAGGTTATTCATCAAATGTTGATGTATAGCCAAGTCTATAAATTAAACCACAACACTGACCCAACCATTGCTAAGTTTGTCGTTGCTGGTTTTACAGGAATCCTTAAAGGATGGTGGGATAATGTTCTCATTGAAGTTCAGAAAGCTGAAATCTTTTCTGCTACCAAGATAGTTAAAGATGAAGCTACTCAACAACCAGGACCTGCTCCAGATGCGGTTTATACTCTCATCACCACTATTATTCAACATTTTGTTCGCCCAGAAGGAGCTAATAGTGAACGGAGTCGTGAACTTCTACAGAACTTAAGATGTCCATCTTTAACCCATTTTCGGTGGTATAAAGATGTATTCTTGGTAAAGGTTCTCCAACTCAATGATGCAAATCATGAGCACTGGAAAGCAAAATTTGTGGATGGTTTACCAACCTTCTTTGCTGAAAGAATCAGGAAAAAACTTAGAGATATGAACAATGGTATCTCTATCCCTTACAGAAACTATACCTATGGTGGATTAGTCAATATTGGAATCCAGGAAGGTCTAGCTCTCTGTAATGATCTGAAGTTACAATCCCAGTTAAAAGCACAGAGATTAACTGGTCGAAAAGAAGTAGGTGAATTTTGTGATCAATTTGCCTACCAAACTCCCTTATCTTATCCTAAACCTAGGAAAAGAAATAAGGTTGAAAAGTCTTATAAAAGGAAGTATTCCAAGAGAAAGAATTATTCAAAGGAAAAGGATAATTCTCGACAGTATACTAAGCCTAAAAGGAAATATATTCCTAAAGCAAAGGGTAAAAGAAAACCCAAAGCTGAGGCTAAATGTTTCAAATGTGGACGCATAGGCCACTATGCAAACAAGTGCAGAACTAAGGAGAAACTTAGTAGTCTTCACATCGAAGATGAACTAAGACTTCAATTAAGTAAATTTTTACTTAATACTAGTTCTTCTGAATCAGAATCATTAGCTGATTATGGGGATGTTGTTCTGGAATTACAGTCTTCTTCTTCCTTTGAAGCAGAAGTTGGACATCCAAAATGCTCCTGTAATCCCTCGCATGATGGCTTAACTCTTTATTGTTAATGCTTATTAGGTACTGGTAGCATGATTATTTTGTATATTGTTTTAACTACTTTTGATTAAAAATAATAATTTATAAATATCTAATTAGGTTAAATGTAAAAAATCTCACAATTGGTATATTGCAACAAATATGGACTTGTTCACAGGCAAAAGAAAAAGACACTCTACCCTCAAGGGCCAATCAAAATGCGACAACTCACCTAACTTTATCACATTGTAATTTTTTATTTTATTTTATACATCCAATCAAAATTGATACCCTTGTGCGATTCTCTTTCTCCTTATTATTCTTCTTCTCGACATGCACTCTCTTTTATTTTATTTCGGTGTTTATATTTTCTCTTTTATTTGCTGCGTGATTTTCTCGAGTACTGAATTGAAGTGATCTTGGGGTCGAGACGTTGATTTCTTATGATTTGAAGGAATCAAAGAAAGGGGAGATTTCTTTGATTCATTTGTATACCTATATTTTCTTTTTTTTAAAATTTTTGTGATGAGTAATGATACTACGGCCCACAAAAAAAGTGGAATGTTGGTCTGAATCCTAAGTGGTTGTATCTTGACTGACACCGGTTTGGTGCCTAATAAGAGCTCTCCGACGATTAATTAATCGTTAATAATAAAAGTAGGAATTTAATATATATATTTTTTCATACCTCATTGGTTAGATGGGGTGGTTTCTTCTTAATTGGTCTCTCTTTAGTTTGGTGTAGATACGAGGAGATTTTGTAGGAGCTTCTTTGAATTTGAACTTCTCTTATTGATTCCTTTCAAGTGATCGAGTCAATCTTTATTTGATTTGAAATCAGCTAACCTAGATAATTGAAGGGCTTTTGCTGACCAGTGAGGGTTTTATAATCATAAAATCCTTTATAAAAACGCTACCAGTATTACAAAATTATTACTTTGTCCCAATTTTATCAATAAGCCGTTCAGGGCTTATTAAATGACTAAATTACCCTTATGATATATCACTTTATTTAAAAAAATAAAAATTCATATTTTAAAAATTACAACATTATCTTCTTGCACAAAACAAATAAAAATAAAAATTAGGGTTAAAATTATAAAACCCTCACTACACTTAAATTTTGATCATAAAATTCCAATTTTCTGAAAACTCCTACACTTTTAAAAAGTGATCACATTGCCCTAATATCTGTGTCCGATCCGTTAACTGGGCTATGAAATGACAAATTTAACCTTACTATTTAATGTTAAATTAAAAACAAAAAATTAATTTTTAAAATTACAAAAATACCCTTTAATCTTCTTTTCAGCCCTTTATCTCTCTAAAATTCTCACCACACACTCTCTTTCCATCTCTCATAATTTTTAACATTTTAAAGGGTATTTTTGTAATTTTAAAAAATAAATGTTAGTTTTTTATGTAACATTAAATAATAATGTTAAATTTGTCATTTCATAACTCGGTTAGCGAGTTAGATATGG